GGGCAAGCCTTGTGGGGATCACGTTGTAACTCTCTGGGGGCAGGCAGAGGGCAGCGGAGGGGGGGGGGAATCTACTACATGGGGTCTCACGTTCCCGGGGGTGGGGGCGTGGGACAGGACCTAGGAAGCGGTGACAGACGATGATGGGCCCCACCCTCCCACTCACAGGAAGCCGTGTTTTATGCCAGAGGCAAAGGGGAGCCATTGGAATATTCTAGTCAGGGAAATGACAGGGTTGGAGCGGTTTTAGGAAAGCCCCCGGACAGCAATGCAGTGGATGGATCAGAGGGAATAAGACAGGCTCCACGAGTCCCGCCGGGAAACTCGTGGTAATTAAGCCCACGGAGTTCCTGATTTTTCTGTCTTCAGCCTCTTGCTCACACGAACTCATTTTCTTTTTGGACAACAGGAGTGGCCTGACCCCTCAGCAACCCTGGCACAAGGGGCTTAATTACAGAGAGGAAGGCCTCGTGGCCGTACTGTAGAGGAGGGCGGGATGCTGACTGGGCCACAGTGGACATCAAACCCGCTTAACGCTAAGGATGATTCTCATTTTGTTCCTCATTAATTTGGGGTGCTACCAAAGTCCTCGCACTGTCGCTTTTTCCCCTTTAAACTCGGGTTTGTTTCCACACCAGACACTGAATTTTCTTCCCCTACTCAGCCTCTAAATCAATAAACTGGCCTAATGCAAAAAAAAAAAAAAAAAATGCATTTTGGGAGCTCTCCGATTCTCCCGAAAAAAGGAAGTGTGGGAATTAGTTCCACAGGCTCCTAAGGCAATGCCATGGGAGTGCTGGACTAGGGTGAGGACATCAGGGGTCCCCAGAAGTTTCAGTGAGTTTTGGAATCTGTGATCCAGTTTATAAAAACCAACAAACAGGTGCCACTGTTTCCAGAGTGTTCTGAGGGCCCCAGGTTTTTGTTTGTTTGCTTGTTTTGAATCTGTCCTGGTGGTAGTGAGACTCAGGATCCTCAGGATCCTCAGGATCCTAGGCCTGCTGGGTTAGTGCTCTGCCTCTGCATTCCCTCTCCAGGCCACACTTCTACTCCCCTGGGTGTGTCCAGAAGAGGAAGGACTGCTGATCTTAGGATAAAGACTCATTGCAAACAGACAGACTTACCGGACAGACTGCATCATCAGACAGCCAGGAAGAACCAGTGTGAGGGGGCTCCCAGCTCCTCACTCCTAGCTAGCAGAATTTGGAAACAGATTGCTACATTTGGTATTGTTTAAATAAGGGGTGGAGAGTGCAGTCGTGATACCTTGATTTCAAAATGCCTCTCCCTGGCTTTCTTTCTTGTTTCTTGACATGAGGCTGTCATTTGCAACAAAAACTTTCCATTCATCACTGTTAAAACACACATTTCTTGTAAATGGTCATGTTGTCTTAGAAGCACTAAAAAATAATGTAACCTCTTAATCACTTGAGTGTTGCGAACCCCAAGATTAATACATGTCACCTGGTGTACACTGTAGGGGAGACAAGTGACAGGAATCATGAAACACCTAGAAGAGAAGCTGGTATACAGTAGGTGATCAATAAGTGAGTGGAGGCTCTTAGGCCTTCTTCTCAAAGGAGAGTGTAGGTGAGTTTCTAGAAAGAAGGACTGTGGGGTACTGTAGCCTAGGACCCAGCCAAGATGCACCCTTTTACAGTGTGTGTGTGTGTGTGTGTGTGTGTGTGTGTGTGTGTGTGTGTGTGTGTGTGTATACCTCTAAGTTATTATCTAAATTACCCATTAAGGCCCGTGTGAGTCAACAGGTAGCTATTGACTCAAGTTTCAGCTACCATCAAGACTTATTGATCTGAGAAATACATATCGACCAAATTGAGACTGAGGTCAATGCTAGCGTCCTGGGGCAATAAATCTTAATATTCGTCCAAGTCTGCAGATACTAGACCTGGTAATTTTGACTCTAAAATATTGGTCACACAGAGGTCTGGTTGAGGTCAGCTCTTTTTTTTTTTTTTTCCACCTGTGAATTGTTATTGGTGGAAACTTGTATTAACTAAAATTAACTTAATTCTATGAGAATTTGGTATAAAAACTTAAAAAATTCTTTACATCTTAATGATCAAAAAATAATTTTTGCATTTAAAGAATTGTTAGTAAAAAAAAATCTTATTGAGGCTGGAGAGAAGGCTCAGAGGTTAAGAGTCCCTGTTGTCCTTGCAGAGGACCCAGGTTCAGTTCCCAGCATCACATGGCGGCTCACAATCATCTGCCACTCCAGTTCCAGGGGCTCTGATGCCCTCTTCTGAACTCCACACGCACTAGGCACACACACACACACACACACACACACACACACACACACACACACACGGCAGGGAGGAAGGGAGAGGGAGAGAGAGAGAGAGAAAGAGAGAGAGAGAGAAGCAAAATACTCATATACATAAAGCAAAATGCATAAACTAAAAAGAAAAGAAAGATTTCATCAAAAACAATTATTTTGAAATTATATAACTACCTTGTTCTATTTTTTGTGAAAAGAGCTTAATAGACTGACCATTTACAAATATTTTATTTCATAGTTTACTTTATGTCTTCTCATATTTATATAGAATTTTTTCCATAATATTTTTACATCGGTAAAGAAACCCTGGGGCTGGAGAGATGGCTCAGCCGTTAAGAGTGGGGCTGCTCTTCCAGAGGACCTTGGGTACAATTCCCAGAACCCACAAGGCAGCCCCCAACCACCTGTAACTCCAGTTCCAGGGGATCTGACTCCCCCTCTGGCCTCCTCAGGCACTGCACGCATGTGGGGGACAGACAGACATGCGGACAAAACACCCATAAAATAAAATAAAATAATAAAATAAATAAAATAAAAACACATACAGAAACCTTTAGTTGAAATACTTCTGGAAAAACTTTTAAGCAATTTTTATTTTAATTTAATTTATCTTAATTTTATTTTAATTTCCTATGCTAAGTCTCCATCCAGAGAAGCATGTCAGTTCACACAAACACACAGACCGAAGGGTCAGCAGTCAACACCTGCACAAGGATTATGGTCATTATTTTAAGTGCTGTTGAATCCAATCTTCTGATAAGTCACAAAAATAACAACCATTTAAGACAGCATTTTGTAGCCATGCACTGCACACCAGGTGTTATGTTTAGCAGATAAAGGAGAAGGGCCCAGTAGGCTGTAGACCAAAGAATGTTATCTGATTCAATACTGGTGACTGTCTCTTGGCTGACTGTGGGACCCCAACACTGCCTTTAAATGGAGTGTCTGTGTGTCCTCACAGACAAAACTGGCCGAGAGGGACAAGTCTTACTGTGAAGTTAAATATGATGACATGTAGAAAGCACATGCACAAATGTATTCTATGCATACCATTGGCTATCCAGTAAAGAACAAAAAGAGAATTCCCGTAAACTGCTCTTTGCCACCGTGGGCATTGGAATCGCTTTGACAATCCTTTATCATTCACACACATAGTACAAACACAAGTGCTGAACAGTGTCAACCACAAAACAAACCACAGATGATCAAACCCTAAAAACACTACATAAGTGGCTGTGCATGTTCCGATATCAAAGGAATCAGTGGATAAGAAGTGAGGAAAGGGGCAGCTCTTTCTTACAGAACTCTTAGCAACGGAGATGACAGGCTGAGGGAATAGAAGACCGCCATTGGCATGCCACCACACAAACTCCTAGGGGAAAGGCAAGGACGCATGGGACACAGTGAGCAGAAGCCTTGACACAGCTGAAATAATTAGTAATCACTGTGGGAAACAGGTCCACAAACCCTGACTTCTTCCCCCATGAAGGGCTGTGCCTAATTTCTTCTGCCTGCTTTGAGTGTGAGCTGGACATTGGGGCTGGCTTCTGACACACAGGGGACTGACAGGAAAGAACAGTGAGGAGCCTGGCAGACATGAGCTTCACCGTGGATTGAAATGGACATCCCATCTTAAGGACGTACAGCTGCCCTCCCCCATCATCACTTTCAGTTACAGGCAGTCAACTTCCATTTGAAAATCTTACGAGGAAAATTCCAGAATCAGTTAATTCATAAGTTTTTAAATAACCATTTTAAATAATTCTTACTACAGCATGTTGTAATTGTTCCATGTTAGAATTGGCCATTGTTACTCTACTGTGACTAATTTAGAAACTACACATTATCAGGGGTATGTGTGGAGAAAATGGAGCACACATTCGTAGGGTTTGGTGCAATCTATGGTTTCAGGCCTCTACTGTGGGGCACTGGGATGTTTCCGAAGTGGGCAACCAGCAGAAGTGCTGTATGGACATCATACTGAGTTTAATACCTTAGAGCAGTGGTTCTCAACCTTCCTAATGCTGCGACCCTTTAATACAGGTTCTCATGCTCCCGTGACCCCAACCATAAAACTATGTTTCTACTTCATAACTGTAATTTTGCCACCGTTATGAATTGCAATGTAAATATATGATATGCAGGATATCTGATATGCAACCCCTGCGAAAGCGTCAACTGACCTCCCCAAAGGGGTCGTGATACACAGGTCGAGAACTCCTACCTTAGAGCTACACACCCCAGCTACGTCAGATGTTAACCGTAGTGGGCGAAGGACATACACAAACTCTGATACCTCAAAGATGACTTCTGCAACTCTAAAGTTATTTCAAAATAAAAAAAGAGTTAGCATATTTTTTTTTTCTGGAAAGACCCTTAGCATCCTCTGCAGAGGGAGTTATCAGGTAAATCGATGCAAGCAGGTCCACTTTCTGTTCTATATCCTTCTGTATATGACGTGTTTGAAAGGCAACCATTACAGAGAAAGAGAATTCCATTTGGATTGTCTTGGAAGATCACTCTGCGAAATTAAGGTGGAGAAAAAGTGACTCCAGATTTGATGTGAGAAGAGAGAGAATGCCTTTGGGAACAGAGGAAATGGAGTTTTTGACCTACCCAGAGCTGGTAGAGGAACTGCTTGACCCTTGCTCTGTTTCTTGTGTGAGAGAGACCACAACAACAGAGAAAGGCTACTCACCAGGGCGACCTTCCTCTGTGGTTTCAGCAGCTTTGGTTTGTGGAAAGTGGTGACAATCGGAGCTGTGGAAGGACATCAAGTTTTAGCTTGAAATTCCTTCAAGGCCTCTCAGTGTCCATCTTCCATGGTCATCACAGACACCCATGTACAGACTGGCAGAGCCTTCCTACCCTCAAGAGGAGCTCAAGCTTCTGGAGTCGCTATCCTCAGACACCCCTAACTGGGGAACAATCATCTCCTCATCTTTAGACATGTCACAGCCTCCCTTAGGCCAGGTCACAACAGTTCTGTACAGGTCTCTGTCACCTGCATGGAAGTCAAGGGTGTGGGAGACAACCAGGGGTCCTTGGTCAAGGCTGAGGTAGGAATTTACCCAGGAGACTCTGATCTCCCCCTGACTCCAAGGACAATGACTGACCCTCACTCAGCCCTGTGAGTTCACCAAGGAGGGGCTTACTGTCCAAGGTTAACGAAAGTGACCAGAGGCTCTTCTTCCATTGTCCTAACTAGTCTTGACTGCATGGCTTGAAATTGGAGTTGAAAGCCCAGTTCCAAGACTTAGTTCCCCAAGCGCAGTTTGTATCTTTTATAACCAGGATACCCACCCTGCAGGGACTGACACCATACAAAGCTGCGAGCCCTGGCTGAGGTGATCTCTGCTCCTTCCCTCCCAAGGTCTCACGCTTCAAACCCTTCCTTCCTTTCAGCTACGCCTCTTCCGGCTTCTTCCACAGGGTTCGGTGGGATACCAGCAGAACCCAGTGAAGGAATAAAATGCATTTTGTCGGGTTAAAGTTATCTCTTTCAAATTTGTTGAGGGATGAACACCTAGCTAGGCCATTCTAAGAATCTAAATAGGGTCTCTCTATAGACAGTCTTGGTCCTGGTAAGATCCATGCCTTTTTGTCCTTTAAGAAACCCCTTTCATAGCCGGGCGGTGGTGG